TCCTCGCGTCCGCTGTGTCGCTGTCCGAGTGGAGGGGGGGGGGCGGGGGGGGGGGGGGCGGGGGGGGGGGGGGCCAGTCGCGAAAATTCGAACCTAAAACTTACACTCACTGTTTTCTTCGAAAATATATGTGAGTTCCACAAAATAGTACTTTGGTGAAAAATATTATACACTGCCATAGTAGAATTAATTACCTTTCTAACCATATAAAATTAGTGGGAATTTTCTTATAATTTTCAAATAGGTCCGATTTTGCTACCATATCCACCTCCATCCTTTGAACGGAAAAAGCAAACATTAAGCGTCAAATTCATAGAGCAAGAGATAAATCTATTTTAACAATAGAATGGAATCCTCTGAGCGTGTATGAATTCTATTCTGTTAAATTGTCTTCGGAAAAATCGTAGAAAAACATTTAGAGAAACGTTTGAGATATCACATTAGTAATTTTCCTTCTTGTTCCTAAACAAAAAGCAGAAAAATCTTTAAAAACCCTCATGTATATCTTCGACGCCAGGCTTTTAAAAGTTTATCACTAATATCTTGGACTTCCAAAATGAAAGAAATACTTGACTTTAATCAATTAAAAAGAAAAAGATATTAGAATATTCGAGAACATATTAATGTCTACTCGAAGTAACACAACATGTTCACAGTCGAACTTGTTCGAGATCGTATTGATTTAGGAGTTTTCAACTCGTTTGAGTTCAAAGCTATCCAATATGTCAGCGTAAATAACAATATGATTGTGGCTCTATATTCAATTACAAAATGGAATCTGCAATTATTGATTCTTTTGTAACGCTAAGGATATATCTTGTTTGAATTCTTTGTTACTGAAATTCGAATCAACACAAGTATCATTTGAAGATTGTCACAGCTGAAATGAAATATTTCCATCATGATTACTTAAAAGACCAATACTCTCTGACTGTCGCTGTCAAAATTTAGTTTACACTGCAAATCCCATGAACTAAGATGCCTATCGAAATAGTGCGATAGTCGAGAATGGTGACTTATGTACACCTTTTGTATTCGAAAATGGAAACCATTTGAATAACAAAGCAAAACACCTCTTTTTTACCATACACATAATGCGCGAGTTATCATTATATTCTTAAATGAATACCGAACAAACCATTCAATTGATACAGTGGTTACTTTCTCGTTCAATCTCTAGTTGAATTAGTTGAAAATCAAATTTTTTAAAGCATGTATAGCTGAAGAGAAAACACACTACTGTTTACTCATATGGGAAGAATGTAGAAAAGATGAACGTCAGTTATGAGTAAAGAATGCAGATTCCAACAGATTAAAGAATAGTTGTAGGACAGGAAAAAGAGAGGGATACAATCAAGCAGAAGGAGTAACAACATTATTATGTCTCGAAATTGTGATTGATACTTGACAAAAAATATTCATTAAACTATGAATGATGAAGCGAAGAAGCAGTATCAATCCTCCGTAGAGACCCAATAAGATCGTAATTATTTGCAAAATTAGTCTTTCGCTGTGACATAAAGTAAGTACATGTCAATGGCTGGCACTGTGAGAAGAAACTCGAATAAGATAAATTGTGTTTCCACTCTTCCACAAATACATTCATAGCTAATTCTTCGACTGTACTATTCGGCGTATATTGACTAGGTAATGAAGCATTCAATGGAGAGATCAACGATAAATTTCCGACATTTATAAGCTCAAGACATGTTTTATTGTATAGACATATAAGACTAGATTGAAGAAGTGATTCCATTGGAGAACAACCAAGGATAAAACCAGATACCATTTCTTCATCAACAAACACAGGTTCAGTGCATGTTGACGACGTAGCACAAAGACAGTTCGGTCCATGTAAGACTGGCCTAGTCGGAATAGGATGGTAGGGTATTATGCCGTTGCGTTCTGGTGAAAAATCCCAGTTTAAAGAGAAAATATTCATCAATTGATTGTTCTGTACTGCTGCACGTCCAACTTGAAGCTGTAAAATAAGATCAATTGTGTTCTGACGTTGTAAATGGTAGATTTTGTCTTCGATTAGCAAACGAAGATATTTTCTTGCAATGGCCTTGCCCTTGAATACTTACTCAGCAAGGAACTTTTCGACGACATCATTAACTGTACGTTGAACCGTGTTACTAAGATTTTGC